TCGCGGCGTGGGTCGCTGAGTGGTTCGCGGATGGGTCGCGGGTGGTTCGCTGGTGGGACGCGGGTGGGTCGCAGGTGGGTCGCGGGCAGGGTCGCGGGTGGGTCGCGGGTGGGTCGCGGGCCAGGTCGAGGGGGGGTCGCGGGTGGGGGTCGCGGGGTGGGTCGCGAGTCGGTCGCGGGGTGGGTCGCGGGGTGGGTCGCGGGTGGGTCGCGGGTGGGTCGTGGGTGGGTCGCGGGGTGGGTCGCAGGTGGGTCACGGGTTGGGTCGCGGGTGGGTCGCGGGGTGAGTCGCGGGGTGGGTCGCGGGGTGGGTCGCGGGATGGTTCGCGGGGTGGGTCGCGGGTGGGTCGCGGGTGGGACGACGACAACAAACAAACAAACAAACAAACAAACAAACAAACAAACACACAAACAAACCAACAACAGCAACAACCACAACATCAACAACAACGACAATTACAACGCAACAACGCAACAAGCAGAATCCTCACCACGGATCCCCAGGGACAATGAATGACCGTCCGGCCTCCTTTTCTACTTCGCGCGCGCTGGGCGGCCCCTGGGGGTCCCCGGACGAAGAGTGCCCCAGCCAGGGCGCCGCCCTTCAGGCCCTCCAGAGCGGTCCAAGAGAGCCCCCAAAGGCCCCCAAGACGGTCCAAGAGGGCTCCCAGTCGTCGAACGATCGGTCCAAGACGCCCAATGTTGCCTTCAGATGCCCCAAGAGACCACCAAGAGCCTTCCCAAGAGGGCCCCCTCAGAGGCAAAAAGTAATGTACCGTAGCACCCTGCAGATGCGGATAAGAGTGAGGGGTCGGCGGGGATGTGGGCAGTTTGCGAGACACTAGAGAAGCCCGCCGCAGGCGCCAAAGTTTCACAAATTATCCAACGAGCCCGCCGCAGGTGCCGATTTTTTCGCTAAACCAATGTGGGTCGGTCGCGGGTGGGTGGCAAATGGGTCGCGGGTGGGTCGCGGGTGAGTCGCGGGTGTAGAGAGCAAAAAATCCATCCCATAATATTCACCCCGACAAGCGAAGCCGTTTCGTAAACGCACAAAAGGAATGAATCGAACAGGGCAGGGCTGTTTAGTAAACGCACAGGGCCGTTTAGTAACCGTCAATTGTAGGGTCCGCGTGGTTTCTCCACCTTTCAGGGTGGGTCGCGGGGTGGGTCGCGGGTGGGTCGCGGGGTAGGTCGCGGGTGGGTCGCGGATGGGTCGCGGATGGGTCGCGGGGTGGGTCGCGGGTGGGTCGCGGGGTGGGTCGCGGGGTGGGTCGCGGGGTGGGTCGCGGGTGGGTCGCGGGTGGGACGACGAAAACAAACAACAACAACACCAATAACAACAACACCAACACCAACAACAACAACGACAACAACAACAACAGCAACAGCAACAGCAACAACAGCAACAACAACAAACACTTACAACAACAACAACAACAACAACAACAACAACAACAACAACAACAACAAGAACAACAACAACAACAACAACAACAACAACAACAACAACAATTACTAGCACGTGGGGACACTCCGTTCTCACCAGTGCCAGGGTTTTCATAGGAGGCGGGCAATACCCCCACTTTGTGGGGGGGCCGGTTCAAGCTCTACCAAATTTCCAAACGACTCTTCGCCACCACCCACACCCAGCTTCCCGCCCTATGACGTTCGGACACTTCACTTCGTGGCATGCGGACGACCGTGGCTACTATTCAGGGCCCCGCGGCCGACGACGACGGCGTGCGCGCGCGAAGAAAAAACGAATGTGTCCCGCATGGTATTATTTGACAGGGATGATGGCCCTGGCAGGTGCGCAACCGTTGTCGCAGAAGTTCGAAAAAGTTGCTCGCAAAAGCCCGTTTGACAGAAATGTTTAAAAAGTGTTGGGTTTCCTACGAATCCGCAAGAGCGCGCGGGATGAGATTTTGACAATTTTTTGTTGAAAAACCATTGGTTTTTTGATGTTTTTATGTTAAAATCGCTGCGAACACTAAGGTTTTGGAAGGATTTCGTCTTGCGCGCGCGAATGTCCACTTTACCTTATTTTTTGCAAGGGATTCTTGAAATTTGATTATATTAGAACAAGAAATGTCATTTTCTATAGTTTTTTTGCAAGGGAAAGCGGATTACAACAAAACAACCGGATCCTGTACACACCATCTTTTCTGAGGCTTCCTCACGAAAATGATGAAAATGTAGCTGCGGCCTAGGCGGCGCAGGGGGGGCGCGCACCAGGGGGCCCAACAATAATTATTCTTTAGAATAAATAATGTTCAACAACAATTACTAGCACGTGGGGACACTCCGTTCTCACCAGTGCCAGGGTTTTCATAGGAGGCGGGCAATACCCCCACTTTGTGGGGGGGCCGGTTCAAGCTCTACCACATTTCCAAACGACTCTTCGCCACCACCCACACCCAGCTTCCCGCCCTATGACGTTCGGACACCTCACTTCGTGGCCTGCGGACGACCTTGGCTACTACACTGGCGCATGGGTACAATGACTTGTTGTGGTAACATTTTCTGTAAGCTAGCTTAGTATACGACTTTTCCCCCTGCAATTGAAGATTTCGGCGTGCGCGCGCGAAGAAAAAACGAATGTGTCCCATATGGTATTATTTGACAGGGGTGATGGCCCTGGCAGGCGCGCAACCGTTGTTGCAGAAGTTCGAAGCACGTGAAAAAGTTGCTCGCAAGAGCCCGTTTGACAGAAATGTTGAACAAGTATTGGGTTTCCTAAGAAATCCGCAAGAGCGCGCGGGATGAATTTTTGAAACTTTTTTTGAAAAGCCATTGGGTTTTTCATGTTTTTATGTTAAAATCGCTACGAAAACTAAGGTGTTGGAAGGATTTCATCTTGCGCGCGCGAGTGTGCACTTCGTGCCATCTTTTGCAAATGATTCTTGAAGTTTGGTTATGTTAGAACAAGACATGTCATTTTATATACAGTTTTTTGACAGGGAAAGCGGGCGTCAACAGAACAACCGGATCCGGACTCCCCCGTTTTGCCTGAGACTTCCTAACGAAAATGATGAAAATGTGGCTGCGGCCTAGGCGCGGCGAGGGGGGCGTGCACCAGGGGGCCCAACAATAATTATTTTTTAGAAGTAATAATATTCAACAACAACAACAGCAACAACAACAACAACAACAACAACAACCACGCAACAATCATAATCCTCACCAGAAATCCCCTATTCAGCCACGAGCCCAGGGACAATGAATGACCGTTCGACCCCCTCACTCTGATTACCCTTGGTGTATCAAGGATTTAGGCGTGTTCGCCTTGTCTTACCCGCGCTCCAAGACGGCCCAGGAGGCCCCCAAGATCGCCCGAATACGGCCCCAAGACGCCTCCAAGAGGGCCCCCTAAACAGCCCCAGGGAGCCCAAAGACAGCCCCAGAGCCCTCCAAGACGGCCCAGGAGGCCCCTTAAGGGAGCTTCAAGAGCGGGCCTTGAGGAGGCACCCGAACGGACATGCTCTCGGCCCCGAGAGACCCCCAGGAGGCCCCAAGAAGCCCCTACGAGGCTCCCAAGAGTCCCCAAGAGGCCCCCAAGAGGCCCCATGAGGTCCCAAAAATACCGCCAAGAGGCCCTCGAGCGGTCTCCCAAGAGACCCCAAGCAGTATCCCAAACAGGCGTCTTGTCCACGATCGAGTTTGGCCCCAGAATGCCCCAAGAAGCGATCGAGAGGCCTCCTCCTCATGCTCATCCTCCCCTCCTTCTCCTCCTCCTCCTCCGCCTCTTTCTCCTCCCTCTCCTCCTCTTTCTCCTCCTCCTCCTGTTCCTCCTCGCTCACCACGAGCATCTCTGACGATTCTGACCCCCGACGCACGCACAACGTTGTGATGGGTTTCGGGCGCTCTTCAATACACCCAAGATGCGTCCCAGATTCCCAATCTGGATTCCAAGACGGACCTGGGAGGCCACCGAAGCCGCCAAGATGGCCGAACATGCCTTCAAGACAGCCGAAGAGGCCCCAAAGAAACCCCAAGAGCGCCCCAAGAGGTCCCCCCCAAGAGGGCCCAGAGAGAGCATTCAGTGATGTTGATTGTGTTCTTCAATGTTTTTCACGCTATCGCCTTTTGGAGCACCCAAAGCTCCAAAATGGCCCGAGGGGCCCCCAAGACCGCCCCGAGACGGCCCAAGAGGCGCCCGAGACAGCCCAAGAGAGATCCAAAACAGCCCCAAGACGGGCCCAAGAGTGGGAACACGAATCGACAATCCGAACCTTGCGCCTGAATTGGCCCCCATGAAGCCACAAAAGGCTTCCAAGGCGCGCTATAGTGGCCAGCGGAATGAGCGAAGCGATTTAATATTCGAGGCCACCAGTGGCAAGTTGCATACCACTTGGTGGCCGAGGGATTGCCTTTTAGGGGCTCTCTTGAAACTGCAGTGCGGTGACATTTGGTGCCATTGAAGCCCTCCGTGGGTCATCCAGGGCCCCTCTCATCAGAAGTCGAAACGACGTAACACTGGTTCGATGGTTGTGGTTCGGTGGTTGTCCAATGACTCTGGTCTCTCGGAAACATCCATGGGACGCTTGGGGGCCGTTTGAGAGCCGTCGGCGCCGTGTTGGAGGCCATGTCGTGCCATACGGTTGGCCATACTGGACACGAGGCAACGAGGTATCCGTGAAGCAAGTGTGTCGCTCCGGCGACGGGCGATCGCCCTGGTCCAGACCACCAGGGAGGGAACACGATATTGGAAAGGGGGTATGCGTTGGATGAGCTGATCCGCGAGAGTATGTACGCCGAGAGGGCTGGCTAGATTGAACGCATCGCACTATGCTGCAGCGCCGTGGCCCGCAGCATCGCAATGTAACACCGCTCATGCAACAGATCATTGAATGGCACTGCAGCAAGACGACACTCTGCATGGCAATGTCATTTCAGCGTGTGTCTTCTTCACCATCGCGGTCGCATCGCTCGTCTTTGTGATTGCGGTCGTTTCGCACGGCCTCCTGCGCCTAGCGTAGGCTCTGTGATTGAGCGGCCGAGGTGGCCCAGTGCAGCAGCAGGGGCCGATCCAGAACGGCAGTAACTCGGCGTCGTGCCGTTCGCCAGCATCGCCGCAGGAGCGTGCCCGCTCTGCTCTGGCACACTCTCTCCTGCGATGTGTTTGCAGTTCGGGTCGGCATTTCGCATTCCCGAGGACAGTCCTGGGCGCTCCACTGATGCCTTGGTCACGACGAGCGACCACGATGTGGATGACACGGGGAAAGGAGGAAGTGTAGGTGGAGGTGGAGGTGGTGGAGGGGGAAAGGGAGGAAACGGAGGAGAACGAAGAGACTAAGGACAACCATAAGAGGTAATACGGAAGAGGAGAAGGAGGAGGAGGAGGAGGAGAATGAGGAAATGGAGGAGGCAGAGGAGAAGGAGAAGGAGGAGGAAGAGGAGGAGGAGGAAGAGGAGGCGGAGGAAGAGAATTAGGGTACCCCTGGCACACCGAAAAAGCCGAGACCCAGCGCGAGCCTTCCGTGAACGAAGTCCATGGCGATAGTCGAGCGAAGGTTGGTTTGATGGAGTTCCCTCCTCGTCCACGTCACGCCTCGAACCCCCCACCTCACTATTTCCCTCCAACTCTCTGGGCTTGTCTTTTCTTTTTTCCCTCCTCTTGTTTTTTCCCCAATCGGGGTGTCGTCGGGGGGGTCTGGGGGGGGGGGCCCTGGGCCTCGAGTCTGTGTTTTTTTCCCCTCAGAGTTTTCTTTGTTCCCCCTTGAGTCGTTTTGTTTTGTCCCCCCCCGGGGGGAGCTGGTGGGCGGCCCGGGGACCTCGAAGCTGTGTTTTTTGTCCCCCTCGGATGCTTTTTTCCCCCCTCCCCCCCCTGGAATCTTTTTTTCCCCCCCCCTCGGGGGGGGGCGGGGGCGAGGGCGGGGGGGGGGCGGGGAGGCCCCAGAGGGAGGCCTTGGGGGGGGAGCGGAAATGCCTGGGGATATCACCGGGGGGGGTCCCAGGTGGGGCCCCCGCGAGGGGGCGCGGCCAGGCGCCAGAGCGTGCCGTCTCGCTTCGAGCGCATTTTGTCTTGCCAGCGCACGAACACGCTGGTGCTGATGGTGGTAATGAAGATGAGTTTGATGATGATGCTGATGATGACGGTGGTGGTGGTGGTGGTGATGATGATGATGGTGGTGGTGGTGATGATGATGATGATAGTGATGGTGATGATGGTGAGGACGACCAGAATGATGATGATTATGATGATGGTGATGATAATGTTGATGATGCTGACTGTGATGACGGTGATGATGATGATGATGATGATGATGATGATGATGATGATGATGATGATGATGATTCTGATGATGATTATGATTATGATTATGATTATGATGATGATGGTGATGGTGATGGTGATGACGATGATGATGATGATGGTGGTGATGATGATGGTGATGATGATGACGGTGGTGATGATGGTGGTGGTGGCGATGATGATGGTGATGGTGATGGCGACGACGAATACGACGATGACGATGATGAGGAGGCGGAGGAGGAGGAGGAGGAATTGCATCAGTCCCAGTAGCAGTAACAGCCACATTAACAGGTAGCATGATCAGACGCGGTAGCCTGAGCATCAGCAGGAGCCACCACGGGCTGGGAGCTAGGGAATGGGAGCTAGGATGAGGATGAAGGGAAATAGAGGACGAAAGAGAAGAGAGAGGAGGCGAGGAAGGAGGAGTAGGATCAGACTAAACCCAGGATGCATCAACGATTCTGCAATAGACCCTCCTGTCCCAAGACCCCTCCGCAGAATCCCCATACAAACGTTCCTTTTGCACTGCGGGAACCGCTCACTTTAAAGGTAACGCCCCGTCGGCCTGCCATTCAGTCCAAAGCCCCGTCTTGGAAAGATTCGCCCTCCATCCGTGTAGCGGATGTGTAAGTCTCGAGCTGCCTGCGAAAAGTCCCAGGTCCGTGCTAGTCCAGAATGTTCGGCGGCTCTCGTTCGAGGGGGCAGCGGATGCCGTTCTCGCGAGGGGTGAACACAATGATAAGTGCCGACGGCGCTGCTGATGAGGATGATGATGACGATGATGAGATGAGGATGGTGATTCGGATGATGATGGTGATATGATGACGATGCCGTCTACGATGATGATGCTGCTGATGATGGTGGTGGTGGTCATAAAGGTGATAATGATGATAACTCGGTGATGATGATCATTCGGATCCTTTGCGCGCTTCCACGCGGACAAAAAAAGCGCCCGAAGACCAGAATACTTACAAACCCTAAGTTCCCAAGACCCTAACACCTTAAGACCATAACTCCCTAAGCCTTAAGACCCTAAGATCCTAATACCTTATGGCCCGAAGGCGCTAAGACTATGAGACTCTAAGACCCTAGTCCTCGAATGCCTTAATACCATACTTCTATAATGCCCTAGTACCCTAGGCCCTAAGACCCCAAGAACCAAATACACCAAGACCATAACCCCCGAATATCCTCAGACTCTAAGGCCCCAAGACCCTAGCACCATATTATCCTAAGACCTTAACACCCTAAAACCCTAAGACCCTGATGCCCTACGGCCCCAACACCGGAACACCTCAAGACCTGAAGACCCTAAGGCCCGAACGCCTTAAGACCCTCAGACCCTAAGACCCTAAAGCGCCAAACCCATAAGACCCTACCATCTTAAAACCATTGGACCCTGAGAACCGAACACCCTGAGACCCTAAGACTCTAACGCCCTAAGACACGACCACCCAAACACCCTAACACCCGAAGGCCGTAAGACCCTAACACCTTAACACCCTAGGACCCCTTATCACTTTAACGCCCAAAAGCCTTAATACTCTACATAACACATTAATAGCCTGATGCCCTAGTCCTATAAGATCCTAACACCTGAATGCCACAAGTCACTCATACATTAAAACTCGAATACCCGAACACCTTCACATCTCAATACCATGAGGCCCTCACACCCCGAATCCCTTAGACTTGAAGACCCGAGCACCCTAGAGCCCCAAGACCCTAACACCGCAAGGCCCTAGCATCGTGATTCCCGAACACCACAATACTCTAATACCATGATACCACTAGTACCATAAGACCATCATACCTTACCAACCTAGTACCACAACGCCGTGATACCTTGAAGCCCTAAGACCCTCAGACCCTGATAACCGAATCCCAAGTCACTAGTACCATATTACCCTGAGACTTTAACGCCCTAAAAACCTTAAGGCCCTGATACCCGACGGCCTTAACACCGGAACACCTCAAGACCCGAATATCCCAAGGCCCTAAGACCCCAAGACAGACCCTAAGACCCCACAGCGCCAACCCCATGAGATAGGACCGTGAGATCCGAAGACCCTGGGACTCTAACACCCTCAGACCCTACCACACGGACACCGTAACACCCGAAGGCCCTAAGACCCTAACACCTTAACGCCCAACGATATTCACCATCTTAACACCCACATGCCCTAATATCCGAACTCCCAAATACCCTCATGCACTAATACTTTCAGACCTTCCGACCTCAATACCACAATGCGCTAACACCGGAAATCACGAATGCCCAAATAACCTCATGCCCGTGAGAATAAACACTAGGGGATAATAAAGTTCGGGGTTCAGGGAGAGATAATAAAAGTAGCCCAGCAGACCTCAGCATAATCTCGAAGTAAGAGATGATCAAGAGGAGACCAAGCCGAGCACGTTTTGAGACATCCTTGGCGTTTAGTTTTCATAAAATATCCTCAACAATGGCTTATCTCTCATGAAAATTGTTTTTTGTAAGTGCTCGTGTAGGGTAGCTCATGTGCCTCAATTTCCATGGATCATCAAGCCCAGAGATAAAATAACGTTCAGGCGAGCGTGGGGACAGAGAGAAATATTAAATAAGAAGAATACAGTAGAAGAACAATAAGAAAGAAGAAGAAGAGGATAATAAGAAGAGGACGAAGAAAGGACAAATCCAAAGTTCCAAATCTATCAATTTTAATTTACAAACGTTTTATGAAAATTGATGTTTTAAGTGCTCGCGTAGGGTAGCTCATGTGCTTCATTTTCCATGGATAATCAACCCCAGGGATAAAAAAAGTTCAGGCGAGCGTGAGGACAGATAGAAATATATAAGAAGAAGAGGAAAGTAGAATAATAATAAGAACATTACTCGTTTCGTTTGAGTCTGCCTCCCAAAATTATTGGTTTCGCTTGACACATCCTGAAAAAGTGTGATCGTTTCGCTTGATGTTGCTATATCAACATCGCTTGATGTTGCTATCTCAACATAGCGTTTCGAGGTGATAATGGAGTTCGGCCTCAGCGCTCGCCGCCCAATTTGAATTTTGTATAGGGCGACGATAATCAATTCTAAACACTGAAGGGGGGGTCCCTTTATTATCATCGGCATGCGGTTATCTCAATACCTCAAAACCACAACGACCTCACATCCAACAGCCCTCAGACCCTGAGACCCTAACACCCTAGAGCTCCAAGATCCGAACATCCTAAGGACCGAATACCGTGATGAACACCATCAGAACTACCTTCATACAGTGATACCACCAATACCACAATACCTTCCACAAGACCGTAATACCTTGAAGCCCCAAGTGCCTTTATACCCGAAGACCTTCATACCTCAATGCCATAATATACCCTAACACCCAGCGAACCTAAGAACCGAATACCCTAACACCCTAGAGCCTTAGAACCTTAACACCGTAATACCCTAATGGGCAGAAACCAAACGCCCGAAGGTCCTCATGCCTTAACACCCTGAAGCCCGAACGTCCTAACACCCTAATGCCTTCATGCCGTAATCACTTAATACCCTAAGACATTAATACCTGAACTCCATCATACCATATCACCCTGATCCCACAATACACCAGCACACGAAACACCCAAAGACCCCAATACCTTATACCCTAACACGTCAATACCGTAAGACCCTGGGAACCAAAGGCCTTTCGACCCCAAGACCCTAACACCTTAGAGCACTACGACCCTAAGACCCCAACCCCTTGAGACCTAATAGCCTGACGGCCTGGCACCATAAACTCCTACTAACAAACATGATAACCTGATACCCTGATACCCTCACCCACCGATATC